TTTCGTGCATCTTTTGTGATATCTTCCCTCTCAGGGGAACCTTGACGTGATGGAGGGTTCAGTACCCCGAAGATACACGAAAAGAACGGTTTTTCTAAAGTATCTTAATCAGTCCACAATATTTAAAAAATATTTTTTAAATATTTATTTAATATTTTTACATTCAATAAATATTTTAAAAACATTTTAAGAACATTCTATGCTAATTAGAATCTAAACACACATACACACACACTGCACATTTTTGGATCTATCTGAATTATATATTTAGGTAAATTTTTAGATACTTGAATAAAATCGTTCTCTTCATGTAAAAATCCAATGACGGGGAAGCTAACGTACCCTCGTCACCGATTTAATTGAAAGTGAACGAATCGCAGCTGGTTCGTCGCATCGCGCGTTTGCTTCGGGAGTGCCGTTGAAGTTACCGGACTAATTGACTTTTCACAAAACCCATTCAATGGAATTTTAGTTTCGACGATGGAGTCATATCTTTAATGTTTTGACAGTAAGCGGAACTCTCATTGAAACGTTGCTGCATGAAGTGGCCACTGTGGTCACTGCAACTCTCACGTCAAGTGCTCCAGGCACGAGGTGATGCCGGCCGCGTAATGTCATGCACTCCGCAATGGTGCAATGTTCGCGCGGTTTAGCAACTGTTGCTGTCGGCTGATTGAGGACACTCTCTGTCTGGCAAACGGTTCGGACTTTAGCGGTAAGAATTCGATCGATTGGCCTGGTTCATCGCTCAAAAAGGAATTGCATTACTCTGATCAAGGTGCTCGTTTTTCTATCTTTATCTACCAGCGTCTTAATCGCGTTTATTTTGACTTAATCTGACCTTAACTCTTAGTTTTGGTCGTGACGAACAGTTGGATTCTATTTTCTAAGTTGTCTAGATTGTTAGATCAGCAATGGATACCAACTTTTCTCTTATTACAGGCGCTCGTCACGTTTACCAGCTATAATAAAATAAAATTGATTTTCCTTGAGCCTTTTCCCTCTTTAATATTAACGTTTTTTTTTTTGAAGAAGTGATAAAAATACATATTTTTGAATTCTCCTTTTTGATGATCGTTTTTACATTTTTATTTGGCAAGTACATAAATTCATCTCGAGCTGTCATTTCAAAATTATCGCGGCATTAATGTTTAAATGGTCGCATTTAATTTGGAATCTGCGCAGAATCGTACGAAATTTGTCTCAAGAACAAACATACCTGAGTTTCTTCCACCACGGTTTAACCATTAATGACAAGTTTATTAATTGACAGCTGCAGTGTACCATATAAATCATACGTGTTATAATTTTCGTTTGATAATACATTTAATAATATTCGTTTTGTTTACAAATATACAACAGATAAAAATTAATCATGCTATTTTAAAAACAGATACATTGCAAAATGCTTTAAAATAATTACCCCAATATTTCGATCATCCATTGACAGTATAGGCTAGATTCCAAATCTATATTATATGAATTAAAAGAACGATTGCATTAAACTTAAAAATATACTATAGAAGATAATTTATTTAAGAAATGTAAAATTAAGACATAAATAATCACGTAAGTAAAATATTTTTTTAATTTGTTAATTATTTATTTAATTATATATTAACCTTCTTTCCGTACATTTTTTACGTATATATAAAGTACATATAAATATAAATGCAACTTATATTTATTAAACTTAAATTTTAAGAATTTATTTTATCTAAAATATATATAATTAACTTGTATACATTTTATCTATATATCAGCATGTATACAAGAATATGGACTGTGTTTGAACTAAACAAAATTATTTCTATAATTGTCATACATACACTTGATTTATTATTATTTCTTATATTATTGCCATTTATGATGTGGGAATGGATTTCTGAAAGGCCATATATAATAACGATTTTGAGAGCAGTCATTGAGGTAATGTTTAATAATTATTTAATATTTTGGTTATTATAAAAGGATTAAATATTCAACATATTCATTTTTTAAACTTTTTAAAATTTTTTCGATATTTCTATTATTTGTATATATGTATATTTTTCAATCCATTTAAAATTTGTTATATTTTTTTTTACAGGTTACTTTAGAGTTGATTATGTGGATTATCTTTGCTGGTGTATCAATACTTACCACTCTAATTTTTGTATTTGATGATGTATATTGCAGTAAAACACATTGTGACAACCGACAAAAATATTTACATGTTGCGCAATATGATAATAATGATAAAAATTCTCACATTGTAAAATCTTCAAATTAAAAAAAAATTTTTTAAATACATAAATGAAATTTAAACTGTTTAAAATTTTGACTCAAAATAAAGATTTTTATATACAGCCTTCCTTTAAATTAATTCAATAGTTAATTCGTTTTTAGATGTAAATACTTAAATTGCTTTGCAATCGTATTTATTTCTTTGTAAAAATAAGTTTGACTAATATGCCGAATAGGGGAGGCAGCTCCGATGATTTTGAACTTAACATATATTGTTACCATAGATTTTATTATTATAAATTTTAGCATATTTCTTTTAATTTATATTTTATTTAAAATATTAATTTTGTTACGGTTAAATTAGAAAAATTTATTTATCTCCGAATCGATAATATTCATTTCAATCAACGCGTTTTATAATATGCATCAACAAATATATATTATCTTGTATATCATTATTCTTAGCCTCATTATATTCAATTAATAATTGCTAATTTGACCCTTATTAATTTTCTTTCACACCATCCTAATCGGCATTTGGATCGCGTTTGAGTGAGACAAAACGATATATAATATAATGTAAGAAATAAATCAAAGATGTCACTGTTATCGAATTTGGAATTTAAAAAGTCCCTGAATCGATAAAACAGACGACTTTAATATCGCCTTAATGCTATAATATCTTATATATGGTATTGCCGAAAAATTACAATTTTTTCTCTGCAGTTATCATCTTTATTGATAATCAAACTCAGATGATATAACATTAAAATTATTATAAAAGTATTATTAAGTTTTAAATATATGTACATGTCTACGAAACTAATAAATCATGAAATTAGTACAGTATTACTAGTTTCTTACTTTTAATCACTTAAATTTTAACAGGCACGCGAATTTCCATAAACGCCGATGGTTTTTAATAGCATCTCGTCGGTGACTTACAGCGTTTTTCATTGGCAAAAATGCGCACTCAGTGCACATTAAAGCTGTTGTACACTATTCTAATTTAAATATAAAAGTGAGATCTCTCAATTGATAAAATGCCCAAGATTTATTTTATCAAATAGCACAATAAATGTATCGAATATCTCACGGTTTAATTTATTTATATATTTTTATTAAACGTATATCTTTACGTCGATTTTTGTACAACGGCTTTAAAGTGCACTGAGTGCGCATTAGTTCTGCCAATGAAAAACGCTATTAGTATACGATCTGATCTACAGCTTTAGGTCAGGCCTCATTTTTTAGCAACCTAACGTAAAATAGGTCGTTTGCTTTCTCGATGTAAACGTGTGAAATTTGTACAAAACACGAGATGGCGCTAGGTAATTCGGAACAGGACAGTTATACGATAATTAAAAATATATGTTCGTATTCAGAATGCGCTTTTATCTATAAATACACGTTTTTATATCTAAAATATTCTATAATATACGACGTTATATGTTAAGTACGTGCTAACGTTGTAAAAGCGCGTTCTAAATACGTATCTTTAATCTTTGTAATTGTCATACGTCATGTATGTCAAGTAATGAATTAATTGGCTGTTGCGCAGATATTATTTATAGGCAATAGCTGTTACTGTATAAAATGTTACAGATTCCCATATTTTCTTTGAGATTTTTCATCTAATTTGAAAATTGTTAGTATTAATTTTTGAATATCTTTAAGAAAAGAAGAACTTTTGGATTGGAAATTAATTCTAAATATAAGATTTTGTTATTTCGATAAAAGTACATAAAATTAGAAACGAAGATTATCAAATATAAAATATTTAACGAGTTCATAGTTACAGACTTCCAAGGTCGTAAAGACATAATTCCTTTAGAAGATGTCCCTATTCCTATGGGCGTTTCTCACGATATTTTTCTGATAAAACGTGCTACATGGGAAACTAGATAATGATTATGCTGTTAATTAAATTCCAAACGAGTGATGCAATATTATCAAATTTTACTATAATAAGAATTTCATAAAATACAATTTTTATAGCAGAAGTATTTTTAAATATTATTAAATTATAGAATATTTACAATTAGAGCAATTACATTGATCGCGATTATAGTGAACATTACGGCCGCGGTAGCTATATACGTTCACTGATAGTTAGATTATCGATTAAATTTGCGTGGCGAAAAATATTGGTGAGTGAATTTAATGAATAATTTTTTAGCAGCGTGTTTCAGCCATAAGAAGCAGCGCAAATTTTTGCATAAGGCTGCATAACGCATAAGGCTAAGAAAATCAACCAATTAGAGTCCTTTATTTCATATTCTGATTGGTTGAATCTCTTATGCCTTATGCGTTATACAGCATTATACAAAAGTCTGTGCTGCGGCTTATAATCGACAAGAAGTAGACTCGATGCAGTACACTCACTCCGATAATCTATTTGCCCCACTCACTTCTGGCGAGTACGAGTCGGGAGTTCATCGCATCATTATATGACGCGTTGTATAGTCTCGATAAAACTTCCTACGAGGTCATACGTGGAAACACAGTCGAGTCACGATAAACAACGTGCTTTAACGCTCTTTGAATCGAATACTGGTTGAGTCATTATTTTTTTTCATTGCAAGACTTCTTTTCATAACGCTTTTTTCTTGTTTGTAATACTCGAGGTAAAAATGTTACACAGCAAATAGTAATCGACACCTATCGGTACAAGTCGTCACGGTTCAGTGAACAATCGAGTCGAATGTGAATGTGTGAATACGTGATTAAATCAAGGAATTTTTGAATTTACTGGAAAAAAGTGACCTATTATCATGAGATACGTCGCAGCGCTCGATGTTGGTACTACTACAATACAGTTTCACATCCTGAATGAGAAGGCAGTCACAGTAGCTTCTTCGACGGAGAAGGTTTGTTGCGATTAATTCCCTATAAAAACTCGGATGGTAAATTATAAACATGAATTCGAATTTATATGTATTTGAACATAGATTTTAAATAAAACTCACAATCAAAGACTAATAAGCCGAGCTGGATGTTTTTGCTAATAAGAAATTCAATGTCTATAGTATAAAAATATTTAAACAAACGTTTCGACCTTATAACAATAAATCATCTTCAGAGTGTTACATTAATTTAAAATTAAAATAACAAAATGCATAATTATAATTCCGAATTAAATTTTTTTTTATAAAACTATGTGTTCATACACACGTAATAACATATTTTATGAACTTGATTCCATAAGGATGACGACCGCACTGCTCGTTATTAATATCATCTGCGCTTCTTATGAATTTGCAGCACAATGTGGTAGTTAACGTCGTGTACATTTTAAATTCGATTATCTCCAAATAGAACTTAAATGTTGAACTTTATAAGTAAACTAAAATTAAAGATTACATGTAATGTACAAAATTTGTTAATCCCACGAGATTAAAAGACACAAGAAAAAAGTTTTAGAAAATATCACTAAAAAAATCCGATATCACATTTACCATCGTTTGCTCACAATTCTATAATATATTACATTTTATAAAATACTGTATTTTACAAAACGAACATTAGTAGAAACTATATTTCAATGATAATAAAATTGATAAATTGGAATTAATACCAAATTAGTCATTTTTTATTTTATCCTTACCAATAATTCACGAATAAGTTAAAAAATTAGCAAACGTACTTTTTATGTTAATCTCATACTGCATAATAAATGAATAATAAGAAGTTATACGTGCATTCATTTTTCTCTTAATTATGAATCAATGGGAATGCCTTTTGTAATGTTTGTAAAGAATTTTGTAAAGGAGTTGTGAAAGATTTTGTGCATATAACGTAAATAATAAGAGAATTCATTTTCTGTCAGAGACAAAAAAAGAAATCATTTCTATAATTTTTAAGCGATTATACAGTCTTGCTATACTTATTTCCGAATTATCAAGGAACGATGATATTTCAAATGTAAATAGATCTATGAAAAATGTATGCGTATGCCGTTGGAGAAAAGATAATTCCAATAAATTTGCACAAGCATGCTTATACAAGCATGTATACTCGTCAGCAGAAAAATTGCAGTACACATTTTAAGTTTCGGAACTTATAATCAGCCTTGCTCATAGATCAGTTGAACGTAAAGGATCATTTACACTGGTCATAATCTGTTAATTTACTGTAATTTGTAAGAATTGACTAATTACAATCGAATGTGAAGAGAATAATTGACTATGATTGATATATTAATCATTACTGGGCATTTAATATATGCTTTTTCATTTGACTTAACTAATTTCATGTACAGCAGTTTTTGGTATGCACTAATTCAGTTAATGCAAGAGATTAAATTTGTTATTATGCTAAATGCATTAATTAAGCTTTAATTAAAGTCTGTTTTCGTTGTTCGAGAAATCCCCCAAAATATTTATATTTAAAATGAAATAAATATATATTCAAGCGTTGAAGAAAAAAAAAAGCGAAGATGCTAAATACAAAAAGTGGAAGCAATACAGACAGATGTTCTGATTGGATTTTAAATGTGCTATACATATGCACGCTCCAATTTATTGTCCAAGTTATTTGCGCAAGCATATCGAACGAATTTTTATATGTGTTCAGGTTATTTGTGCGGTCAAAATAAAAATGCAGTTTTTTGACACATATTCAAGTAAATTTCTATAATTGTTATTTATGCTTGTGCAAGTTATTTGCGCAATCATACTTGAACGTGTATAACAGGCATAACAGGTTGAGAAAAAATGAAAGTGGAGAAAAAAGTGATTGCAAAAATAGAATGCTCTCAAGGTCACAAAGTTATTACTACAGTGTAAAGGTGCTCCTTAGTATCTTCTGCGAATTAATAAGGTCACAACACAGCAAAGAGACTGTACTTACTTATAAATGTTTAACATCGATTTAATTATCGAACAAAGTATTCATAATTAAAGAATTAAAAATTAAAACATATGCGATTAAAAATTTTTGTTAATATCTTCTTCCGAAAAAAATAAAATAAATGTTAAGCTACAATTTCAAAGTTATTAAATTAAGTTGATGGCTAAATCGAATACACAGATAAAATATAAAAATATAAAACAAAAATAAAATCTTTTTCTAATTTAGGTAAATCTGATATATCCAGAGCCTAGTTTTGTGGAGATAGATCCCAATCATCTATGGCAGACCATAATAAAAGTAATCAAGGATACGTTAGACCGTAAGTTATTATTATAATAGCGTCTTCTTTTGAAAAGCATCAAAATTTAATAAACTCTTTCTTAACCATTTCTTCATAATAATAAAGAAAGTCCACATGAGGCTTCATGTGCACATCAATAGTTTCTCTTCCTAATATAGAAATGCTATAATGAAAAAAGTGTATATAAAAATGTAAAATATATCAATTGTTTTTGAAAAATACGCCGATGTGGATCTTTTCAAACTCCACAATTTATCATCTGGAATGGATGAACGCAGAAAAGTTTGGTTTTTCACGCATTTTCAATAGATACATAAAGCTTCAATTTGAGCCACAATTGATCGTATCTCCATTAATTACACATAGATAAATTTTATATAAATCTTATATAAATTTTACGTAAATCTTATATAAATCTTATATAAAACTTACAAAAGACGGCTAATGCATTTCCCAGATAGCAGCGTGTCTGTCTTGTTGCTGGCATGTTGCTTGCTAAGTATGCATTGCTAAGTATGTGTTGCTACCAAAATTGCAGCAATTGAGTCCTCATTGGTTGATTCCTTCACGATATGATAACGTTGAGTAGCAATTTGCCAGCAATTTGCCGACAACTTTAAAATCGTCATCATCAAAATTTGTATTATCGCCATCATGTTGCCATAATAATATGTAGCATTATACAATGCTGTCATATTGCCGACAACATTGACGCAACTATTTTGCTGTCAAACTGCTGGAAATACATATACACATTGTTATCTGTATATATTGCTACAATGTCGGTATATTCAAAACCGTTGAAGAGAAATCTAGAGCAAGTTGCCAGCATCATAATCACAGATTTATGCCATTTTGCTGAGACACGCTTTACTATCAGGATTAGTCTTTTAACTTTCACACTTAATTTGTGAATAAGATTATTGATTAATAAATTTTCACGTAACAGCATCGAATATAATCTGCGTGATATATTGAAGCTTGAGTTGAACCTTTAGCTACTCATCGAAAGTGTGTTGAACCTTATTTCTGTATTTCGAACTGTTCTAGAGATATTCATAAACCAAGATGAACGCCAATCGGATGCATCGAAAGTAAGAAATAGTAAATGCTTGTTATTTATATATATGATTTCGATTTTAATTAAATCTGTATTTTCAGGTTTTATTGAAATCACATTTTATTCGAACAAATAAAACTTTTCTTTCTATATCGATTTGATTTGATAATAGAATTCCAATGAGGAATGACAATGGAATTGTTGTCGAATCGACGTCGAATTTGATGATTTCGACGTCGAATCAACATCGATTTGATGTCGATTCCATTGTCATTTCTCATTAGGATGCTTTCCTTTGCATTTAAATAAAAATTCATGCGAGTATCTTTCTGTGAGTATCTGATATTCTAAATATTTAACTATATATAATCATAATTTATCACTTTTATTCACAAAAAAAATTAAAAATAGATATGAAGAATAAATAGAGATATATCTTAGTTTTGGATTCCGCCGCCTATGACTGATATCCTTTATATATTTGGCTTGTTTTTGTTTTATTTCGCAACTTATTTTTATTCATTTGTAACGATAATTAGATTAATTCGCTTTATTTATAATTGCAGATAGCGGAATCAATCCGAAGAATATTGCTTGTATTGGAATTTCATCGCAACGCGCCAGTTTTATTACTTGGAATTTGAAAACTGGAAAATACTATCACAGGTATAAGAATGCTACAAAAGATGTAACAATAATGATTCGATAAAGATAATTTGGTTTAAACTTATTAATTTCAAAATTGATTCACGAGATTTCGTACGTATTATATTTTCAACAATTAACTATAATTGTTGAGTTAAACAAGGATGTATCGAAATATTACAATTATGGTTGTTATTTTTAACAGGTTTATAACATGGAAAGATCAACGAGCGGCCACTTTAGTCAAGGAATGGAACCAATCAATAGTGATGAGAGGTTTAAGAATGGGCGCGAGTATCTTGTATACATTTACAAGAAGAAAACGATTTTTAGCTGGCAGCGTGCTAAAATTTATGAATATGCAGGTTGAAATGCTTTAACAGTCAATTCTTTGTTATAAATTTGATTGTTAGATCGTCATATTTTTCATCAAATTTAAGTTATTATTAACATAATTTTGTAATGGAATTTATAGACTTTCTCAAGATTTTTTCAATAATTAATGCCCGTCTAAAATCTTAATGTATTTCCCTTTAATTCTCAGGTGACTTTAAAATTAGTATGGGCTCTTCAGAATGTACCAGGTCTCCGAGAAGCTGTGCAGAATGAAGAGGTGGCATTTGGAGGTGTAGATTGTTGGCTCTTATATAAGTTAACAGGTAAAACAATATTTTATATTTTGCTATTAAATTTATTACAATTCTCATAACAGTGTTAAATAATATTTCTCTTATAGAACTTAATAAATGTTATATGTAATAGCTACCTGCATATAAACATATACATATAAATATTAAATGTAACGGTAATAATAAAAAAAAAATAATAATAAAGTAATAATATTTATTCGCTATATTATGGCCAATTAATATTCAGTTTATTTGTTATAGGAAAGCATATAATGGATGTTTCAAGTGCCTCAGCTACTGGCATTTTTGATCCGTTTACAATGGAATGGGCTAATTGGGCGTTAAATATTTTAAAATTGCCACAAAGTATTTTTCCAGAAGTGGTTGATACAGCAGGTTATTTTGGAGTTACTCCTAAAGACATATTCGGAGCTGAAATTCCAATTTATTGCTCAGTAAGTAATTCAATATAATTGTTTAACTTCATGACACAACGATTATAGTAGAGTATACACTACGTATACTCATTAATTAATTTTAGAATTAATAAGTTTCCTAATAATATGTTAATAAAATTAGATGGCCGATCAAGCAGCATCTTTATTTGGTTCAGGATGTTTTAAGCCTGGCGATCTCAAAATTACTATGGGGACAGGCACTTTCATGAACGTTAACACAGGACGAGAACCACACGCATCCATTGCTGGTAATTTTGCTAGTTATTCATATTATATATCGCTAAAAATATATATGCTAATTTAAAATAATAACAGAACTAAAATTGAAAAATTTATAGGACTTTATCCAATTGTCGGATGGCGAATTGGAAAAGAATTAGTATACGTTGTAGAAGGATCTTCAAGCGACACCGGTGTAGTAATTGAGTGGGCTAAATCAATAGGTAATTTATTAATAAAACTTAATCAACGTTATCAAATTGTATATTGTTTAATTTATTAATTTTTTGATTATCATATATAAGATATATTTATATTTTTTTGCATCACATAATATTATAAATTTAATTTAAAATTTTTACTTTATTTATACTTTTTGTGAGTTTTCAAATAATAGAAATTTTCATTTTCATATATTTTTAAGATAATGTATTTTAATTATGACACACACAACGATATTTTACTTTTTAAGTAAAAAATTAAGTAAAATTTTGAGAAATATACAATCTATTTTATTTTTTATTCATAAATTGCTAATTAAAGACGATGGAATATAATTCGCAAATATAAAATGTTTTCACCAGATGAAGTTAACTGCAGACGCTTCGATTCTATCCAGCATAGAAATATCTGCAGTTGACTTAATTTATTAAGTACGTTCCAATTATTTGCAAATCATGTCTTATTGCTTTCTGAATATATTGAGAAATATTTTACGCATTAATAATTACGAGGGTTCACATAGGCATTTTACTTATACTGTATAGATAATATACACGTAAGTTTTTAAAGCAAAAAGTAATATTTTATTTCTCTGGAGGAATTTTATATGTATATTATCGTGTTATATGTACATTGATTTCTACATTTGCTGCAGGAATTATAAACAATATTTCGGAAACATCCGATGCGGCAAACTCGGTTAATGACACCGATGGAGTTTATTTCGTTCCGGCATTTAGCGGATTACAAGTATGTTTTATTATATTAAATTATGTTTTTTAATATCAACCATATATAAGAATATTATAAAATCATTTCTTTTTACACAAAAATATATACGTTTTTGTAGTTTAATTAAGAAAATTATTTTCTCTAAATTTTTCTTAACGATAAAAATAAAAGACAACATATATTTAAAAATATATATTATAACTTTTAATTTTTATATCAAATATGTACAAAATATTATTGCAATTTTCACTTAAACGAATATTTGAGAAATATTTTTTATTTATTTTATAACGTTCAGAAGAAAAAGAGAACATTAAAGCATATAGATATACAATTAAGATAAAAAATAATAATGAACCCGTACAAAAATATATAACTATACTATACGTCGTTTATTGTTTCAGGCTCCCATAAATGATTATACAGCTGCAACTGGTTTCTTCGGTTTGAAGCCCACTACAAAAAAAGAACATATTATTCGATCTCTATTGGAGAGTCTTGTTTTCAGGATACAACTACTTCATGAATGCTTATGCAAGGAAACTGTTTTTACGTTTCAAAAAATAAAGTAAAAATTATACAACGATGTGCTTAAAAATCCATATTTATAATCTGAATAATTAATGATACAAAAATTATTACAATATTATAAAAGAGAAAGAAATGCTTTCTTTGTCTGTACTATTGATTTCTAACTTCTGCTATTTCTAATGTAATACATGTATTTATATATAAACGTAACATTGATAATAATTGATAATATTGATAAATTGATATTGATAATAATATTTATACATAATATGGTATTGACTTAATACAAAATATTATTTTTTAGAGTCGACGGTGGAGTTACAAAGAATGATTTTGTTATGCAATCGTTAGCTGACTCAACAGGGTTGGAAGTGGAGCGTCCGGTATCTGTCGAAATGTCCATTTTAGGAGTAGCTTTTCTGGCTGGTTTACAATGTGGTAAAATCTCTATTATTATAATAATTCATATATATATTATATTTTACAATTGAACAATTTATTAGAAATTAATATTACTTTTTTTATGTAGGATATCTTTTTTTTGTGCGGTTCTTTGTGTTGTACTACTCTTAATTCAAATATAATTTAGAGCATTTATTTATTAGCTTTTAATTGCTCCGATAAACTATTGGACGCGCATTTTTCTAAATTTTTTAAGATGTAATAATCGAATATTAAAAGTTATGCGACTGAATACACATAACTGTACTTACAATGATAAATTTTAATGTATTGTTTAATACAATAATTTCAGGAATTTGGAAGAGCAGAGAAGAACTGTTGGAACTCCGTCAAACGGACAAAATATTCAAACCAAACGAAGAATCGCGATTATCTCATCAATATGAGCTGCGTCAATGGAAACGCGCAGTGGAGCGATTTAAAAATTGGTACTGATACACTGTTAAATCTGTAATTAAATTTAACCTAAAGTGAGTGATTATATCGTTATTTTATACTAAAACAATGGTTATATTTGACATTATATAGTGCCAATTTGGCACTATAATGTCAAATTGACACGATATGGTATAAGATACTATAGATTTAATACAAAACACAACACACACAACAGTGTAATAAATACTAAATAAAAATAATTTTTAATGATATTGGGATATATTAGAAATTTTTTATAATATGCAAGGACAATGTACATGAATATACATATATGTATATTATACATTTATATTATTTTATATTGTAAAGTTGATTAGCTGATCAATCAGTATTTAGTAATAAGAATTAAAACAATTATATAAAATAACAGTATAGAAAGTAGTTTTTCTAAAACACGAAAATTCTATTAATGATATTACTTTTGTCATTCATATCATATCATACAGTTGCAATTCCAACATAACTCTCAATTAAAATGAAAGTTTTAATAATCCAATTTCAGATCATATCAATAAAGTGAAAACATATCATATTTATCGCGTAATGCAAGGCCATTATAGTTCTCATAAGTCATAACATATAATCTAAAATTACATTTACGCAGATCATTAAAAAAATTAATTTCTTGGATCATTTTCCTATATAAAATTTAATAATTTAAACAGATTAAATAGAAATATATTATACAATTGTATGTACAATACTTTTTGTATAAACAACAATTATATTATATTTTGTAAATAATAAAATTAAGATTATATACACTCAATCTATTTGTAGATATAGTCAATTTGTGTTATTTTTCGTCATCATATTATTCAATTTATCTTTGTAGAATACGCACGTACATCAATAGAATTTCCATGAGTGTAACTCAAAAAGTGATATTAAGATTTTATATTTACATTTCATTTAATTTTAAAATTAAGATCACAAAAGGTGCAATATTTCATCATGTAATGTTATAATAAAGTACTAAATATGATGCTGCAGATTACAATTATTTATTACCGCTGGTTAAACTTGCTTCTCGGTAGTGAGAGAAAGTCAAGCAAGCTATGGATAACCAAACGAGTAATTGAAAGTGTATAACATACACTATTGGCGTGAAACGTGTAATAAGTGAAATTGCATGACCTACGCAAGCTGGTGCATATTAGGACGCGAGATCGCTTATCAGCTATTAGTTGCTAACTGGCTACAATGTAGAATTCATTAAGAATAACACGCATCTCGTCCCCAAGTTAAATTTAGTCCTTATAGACGTAGAATAGGCAACACAGTTCTTTCCATATTTTACGACAACTTGGTCGTACTCACGGTTAAACGGCAACTTTCAGTGTCTGTTTTAGTTATCTGAAATTTATTGTTTTTTTTGTATGACTTATCGTTTCAACAAAAAAACTGTATTCAACTACATGTAAAATTGAAAAAACAATTTAAACTTATTCAAAAAGTGTTAATCATTGCGTTATTTAACATAATTACATATTTATTACTATTTATACAAATTAATCAATTTAGATTGATAGTGAATGGTTCAAAATGATGTCGGGTGTGAAAAATTTGAAGCAGGCAGTTATGCCTATTATATGGCTCAATTGTATATTTTGCATGGGAATATTCGAAATACCCATTAATCGCCCACGATATTTTCTGAGTATTTTCTATGTCATCTCGATAATGACTGGATATTTCATTATACTTTACAAAGGAATTCATATCTTCCAGCAAGCGTTTGCTTTGGAGCTTAGAATATTTCATCTTGTCTTAGGGGTCCATATCTTAGTTGCCGTTTTAGCTATAATTCTGTTTTGGTGGAAATCAGAGGTACGTAACAAACGTAAATTTAATGTAAAGTTGGTAGATATGGTATATGAAAATTATGGAAAGATTACTAATGGAGTTACAGAAACATCAGTTAGCTAATTTCAAAATATCTTAATAAAGAATTTTTCTTTTGTTACATCTTTTTTGTAAATATAGGACAACGTTAAATAATACATTTGAGTGCGTAGATTTTTTCCCTTGACATTATGACGTTTTATGTTTTCGAATAATTATTATTAAACAAATTTACTAATCTATTAATAAATTTCGACATTTAAAGAATATGAACAACATAATTAAGAGCAATGCTATAGCGGACCATACTTTAAACACACTGGGCATAAAAATAGAATATGAGAAAACCTCCCACCACATTCTAAATTTTGTGACTATCTGGTCGGTGTGCACAATAACAGTAAACGTCTTGTACATAATATGGCTTTATCATGATGTTGGATGCTGGATTGCTCTTTATAGTTGCATATGCATCTGTTTTCCAGTTACGATAAATTCTGTAGTAGAGCTTACTTTCGCTTCGCTTATCAGGCAAGTAATATATTTCTTAAAAAAATACTCATACATCTTGTGACAAATTTATCTAAAATACAAAAATTGATAAGATTTCTTTAGAGATTTCTTTATCTTGATTTCCAAGATATTTATTGATCATAATAATGTTTTTTTAAATTGTTTGCAATGGAAAGTAAATATAATAACACTACTCTTTTTATATATTTGAGTACTGATTAAAATTGTAATGTGGCAGATGTATTCAAACCAGATTTCAAAAGACAAATATTCTAATCAACGATGTAATGATTTGTGCAAATGAATCACATGCCTTCAAGATTCGTAATAAGCATGAAAATACATCTATTACATTTATAATGGTAAATTATAAAATCCATAAAGACAAAATAATACATCTCATTCGGACGCTAAGGTAAGATCAATAATAATTTTCGTTTCTATTAATTTTGATTAGTTTGCTCTATGATAAAAAAAAAACATCTTAAAAAATCTGATAAAAATGATTAATATATGATACTTTAACAATTATTCATTTCATACTTATTTCTTTATGATATCTATTAAATTGATGACAAATGTATAAATATTTCTATTAAAAGTTAAGTCTATTTTATATATTTTTTCCTTTGTCTCAATTTCTCACATAAAACACACACGATACGTGTGGCTTATGTAAATTGTTTAAATAACTTAGTATTTAAAAGTTCGAAGTTTATTAATTAAATAATCATTAATTAATTGATATTTTTTTGTCAAAGACACTTACATCTAGAAATTACAAAAACAGGACGACAAATAAATAATATTTTTTGTCTGCAACTTTTACTCGAATTAGCGGTTCATTTTACAATAGTGACATCGAGTATTTATTGTTTATATCTCACATATTCTGGCAAATTACTCATAATCAATAACGAAAAGATTATTGCCTTGGCAATGTGGGCGTCCATATATTCAATTAAAATTATATTAGTGAATGGACTTTGCACAAGTATATCAACCGAGGTATAAAAAACTATTTTTATGATAAAAATAAAATACACAATATATGCATTATTTAGAATTAAGTTAAACATATTATGTTTAAAAATATAAATTATTTTTTATATACATATTAATTCTATATGCTCAGTATATCTCTTAAATACTTATATGTATACGAGCATAATAATTCTCCATGAAAATATATATAACGCGCATCGTACTGTCCAATTTATTCATGACTTTATATTAAATTTGCATCGTGCATTAATATTTATTTCAGGCATATAAAACTGGTGAAATTATACAATCCTTTGAAGCATCTATTATCGATGATGATATGAGAGAAGAGGTAAGTCTGTGTTCATGTATTATTAATAATTATAAAAATTAAATTAGAGTTTTCTTCATAACGTAAAACACTATTAATATTTATATACAAAATTAATTCATTTTATATATAAATCACAGATTTGTATAAGTTCAATGTACAACATTATTTGGATAATGACGTGATGTGGACAAAAAATTCGTGCGCACTGAATTTTTTCTGCTAACACAATAACACTGCAGGTTTCTATGACGATGGCATAGCGTGTTCTAAGAAGTCTAACGAATACGTATAATTTTATCATTGACGATTGCACATGCAATTTTTTGTATCAATAATTGTTGAAAATAGTTTTTTTAGCCGTTGAATAAAATGTGATTTTTAACAAAAACAGAGTACGTATTATGGAATTATTTGGAATGGGGATTTTGATTGGAATTATTCAATTATTTTCTAGATTTTTATAAGTGTTTTGTAAGTAAAACGAAATAATTCTAATTGGAATTCATTTTCATTTATTCCATAATAGATTCCCTGAGAAGTTTTTTTGTGTAACTCGGGAAGAATAAACCAGAAATTTATAAAATGCTACAAATAGTCTGATTATAAATTTCTAGCCAATTCTTTTCAAGTTTTACAAGAAATTTGATTTTCCTTATTGTCGAAATATCACGCTCCATTCCAATGGTGCAAAAAAAATTATTCCTACAATTATTGATACAAAAAGCTGCAATCGTTGATCAAAATTGTACTGAACGTATTCGTTAGACTTTCTCTACTACACGCCACGACACCATAGAAATCTATAGTATTGCTAAAAAAATTCAGTACACAAACTTTTCCTCTATATCACGTATATAAATATACGATCTTTAGGTTTATAATAAGAATACAAAAATGTGTTTACAGATTCATCAATTTACACAACAAATAATGCTTAGGTCATTAAACTTTACCGCTTTTGGTTTCTTTTCAATTAATAATTCTCTTACCGGCAAGGTATGTCATTTATTATTTGTTTAACTTAATCAATTTAATAAGGTTCTGTTATTTATTTATTCTGAATAATATATAATGTTTTTAGTATAATTATACGTATATAATAAATTTAAAGTGTAAAACTACATTATGTAATTATGAGATTGAAGAATGAAAAAGATAAGAAACCGCATATATTTTTTCAGTTCTTTGCCACGGTTACAACGTATGTGGTTATTTTAATACAAATAAATTTTGCACCTGTAATACCATCCGTACAACAAAATAACACGTAATATGAGACTGGAAGAGACTTCAAATATGTTAGATAAACAATCTTTTATTAATAGTATTTCAAAAAACAGAAGTTTATGAAGAAGTTTCATAAGAGCTTACATAAAGTATTATTCTTTATAAATGTCGTGTATTTAATATAGAATTAAATTTTCCTCAAACATATTCAAATGTATACAATAAATTAATTTAAAAAGTTGTAAATTGATTAATAAAATTTTATTAATTTTATTTTTCTTATAATTTTGCTTCCTCTTGCAATGCCGAAAATTCTAACAAATCAAATTGCAATGATTCAAAAAGGTAGGTAGAGTATAGTATAATAATAAATTAACAAGATATAATTTTTTTTCTAAGTAATATATTTTTCATATTTAGTAAGAGAGGAAGAGCTTTAGTCTAAGTATGATGTATATATATTGAACCGATCAGTTTCTTTTTTCTTCTAAAAAAATTTCTTTATTTCTTTCATTTAAATTTGTGAAAATTCCGCCATGAATTTTTTATGTAACAATGCAAATTTGTAATATATTTAATGTAAATGTAAGAAAATTAAATATTTCTTTATAATATACGAAAATAAATGTGACGATATAAAGCCCCTTTTATTGTTCATGTACAATGTAGATGACGTATTAAAATAATAAAATTTATTCGTATTTGCAATATTTAATGTAAAAAATTTACATTGATTTATAAGGTTTCTGTTTTTCAATATCTAAATGATGATTCTTATGCATATTATTTGATAAAGTAAAAAAAAGTTTATAAATTGTTTAAATTTATAAAGTATTTTCAAAAATATTGTAAATTTCTTGATTTCTTAAAATCTATAGTTAATGGGACTTTTTAATATTTATTCTTACTAAATATTTAACTTTATATTCTTTTTCAGCAACTGAAAGTACATAATAAGAATCACCACTCAGATGTTCGAAAACCGAAATCTTGTAACACAGTATAATTTACTAGTAAAATACTGTTAGAAAACAATGTAACTGATTATATCGATCAGTTAAACTAATTAAACAGTTATTGCTCTTGTGAATAATTATTCGTGAATAGTTATTTGGTCTTGAAAGATTGATTGCATTCTACAAAAAAATGTAGTTTTGCAATTGTTTGATAATCAATCTATTTGCACGTAGACCAATTACAGTGTTACTTTTCGTATATATATATTATCACATTTTTCAATTTATACTCATATTGTATGCGTATATAATCAATAGAAGTTCCATGAGTATAACTCAACAAGTAATATTAAATGTCTATGTTTGTATTTCACTTAATTAAAAACTAGGTCAAAAGATGTACAATCATTTTATTAGAAATATGTTGCAATAAATTGCCGAGACAGAGATGAGCCTACAGATTGCAATTATTTCTTGTCGCTATGTTAAACGTGTTTCTTAGTAAAGAGAAAATGTCAGGCAAGCTATGCCTAACCGAACAAGTAATCGAAAGTATTATACAATATATATTACTGGCGTAAAACATGCGCGTAATAAGTGAAATTGCATAGCTTACGAAGGCTGGTGATGATATCACATTAACATGCGAGATCATTTATCAGCTATTAGTTGTTCGCTGACGAGAGAATTCATTAAGGTTAACACGCATTAGTCTGTTCGAGTTAAATTTAGTTTTTACAGACATTTAACAGATGCAACACGTTTTTTTCCGTACTTTACGACAATTCGGTCACAATCTCAATTAAACAACTTTTAGTGTACATTTCAGTTATTCGATATTCATCGTTTATATGACTTATCGTTTCAATGAAGATACCGCAGTAAGACTAAAGTATATAAAAGTTAAAAAAGCACGTAAGCTTATTCATAAAATGTTAATTATAACATCATTTAATATAAATATATATTTGTTAATATTTATACAAATTGGTCTAGATTGATAGTGAACGGTTTAAAATGATGTCAAGTGTAAGAAATTTGAAACAGGCAGTTATGCCTATTATATGGCTCAACCGTATATTTTGCATGGGAATATTCGAAATACCGATAAATCGCCCACGATATTTTTTTAGTATTTTCTACGTCATCTCAATAATGATTGGTTACTTTATTATACTTTACAAAGGAATTGATATCTTCCAGCAAGCGTTTGCTTATAATTTTATAATATTTCATTTTGTTTTGGGAATCAACATCTTAGTTGCCACCTTGGCTATAATTCTGTTTTGGTGGAAGTCAGAGGTACGTAAGTTTTATATAAAAGCGGCAGTGAGAGATATGAACAAATTGCATTAACAAATTACAGAAATATCGATATTCAATTAATATAAGAATACATAATAAAAATCTCCCCCTTTTTTATATACTTTTGTGAATTATAGAAATGTTAAGTTTATTTATACATATTTTCCTTTGACATCATAACGTTTTATGTTTATATAGTAATAAATATTGTTAAAAAAAAACAAATTAACTATTCTATTAACAAATTTTAATTTTTAAAGAATATAAATATCATAATTAAAAGGAGTAATATAGTGGACAATACTTTAGAGACATTGGGTATAAAAAGAGAGTATCAAAAACACTTTCGCCATGTTCTGTCTCTTATGGCTCTCTGGCTAACAGGCATGATAATAATATGCATCTTGCATGTGATGTGGACGTATATCAATATTGGATACGGGTTTGCCTTTTATAGCTGCATATGTTTTATTTTTCCGATTATGATAAATTCTGTAGTAGACCTCACATTCGCCTCATTTATCAGGCAAGTGATATATGTTTCTCAAAGAATACTCAAACATATTACGAGAAGTTTGTGTAAAGTATTAAAACTATTAAAATTTCTTTAATTTCTAAGACATTTAGTCGATTGTACACAGAAAAAAAACTAAATTTAAGTAAATATTTTTCCAAGTCTCAATTATTTATTAAATGTAAACATATATTTATTTGATACAAGAATCATTAATTTGATTTAAGTATCATTATATTTTATTGAGCAAATATTTATTTGCTCTAAATAAATGTTTACTTGGAACTATTCAAAGAAATATTCACTTAGATTTAGCTAATTTTTATCGGTGTAGTTATTATGAGATATTTCTTTTTAAATTGTTTGGACACAAGTGTAACACGCTTCTATTTACTTGCGAATTGATTAAAATTACAATACGGCAGATGCGTCCAAACCAGATTTCAGAAGATAAATACTCTAATCAATAATGTAGTGTTCTGTGCAAATGAATCAAATACTTTCAAGATTTATAATCAGCATGAAAATACGTCTATTGCATTTGTCATGGTAAATTATAAAAATCGCAAAGAAAATATAATGCATCTCATGCAGACTTTAAGGTAAGATCAATAATTATTCTTGCTCCTATATTATGAAGTTTTCATTAGTATATTATAATAATTATATAAACATAAAATATTGTAATAATGATTAAATATGTAATATTTCAAAATATAATTGCATTTTACCGTATAATATTTATTAATAACATTTATTAGATTAATATAATATATACATATAAGACATGCCAAAGAAAAACGTTGTACCATCTTTTAATTTTTCGGGAGAAAGGAAAACTTATTTTCTTGAAAACTGTTATCTCAAAAATTCTAAAAAAATTACCGTCAAATATCTAAAAATATAAGTAAAAAAATTTACTTTTCTGTAAAAAAATTTAATTATATAATTTTAATTTAAAAAAATTATATTAATGTTGTTAAAATTTCAATGTAAGTCAAAGTAAAAATAATATTTTAAAGTAAAAATAAAAGTCAAATTATTGAAGCCCAAGTAAAAATGCTAATCACATTATGGATTTACAATATGTTTCGATTTTTACTATCCGTTTTTCTTCACTTACAACAGCATATTCCACGCCAACAGTACGTAATAGGACAGAGCACTTTACATAACCCATTTATGAACTAAAACACATTTTTATAATTTTTGCACTTACAATGTTAGCGTGAAACACAATTATTTTTGCAAACAGTTTAAGAGCTACTTTATACATTCTAACACAAACTATAGAAATCAAACTCTTAAACGGTCTATTAGCTGGATCTTAATGCTTGTATGATTCTTGTGTGAATCTATATATTACGTAGTCCCTAGAAACGCGCGCTGAAATAATTTTTCGGTCTTGAAACGCTAACTCCACTAAACTCCACTAACTACCGCAGCAATATCACACATACATAGTATATAAATTCACACAAAAATTATACAAGCATTAAAATTCAGCTAGATCGCTTAAGGCTTCGATTTTTATAGTTTGCGTTATTACATACACGGTCCTATAATATATTATATTGTTTATACATTCTCCCTTTACACACGCATGCACGTACGGATGCACAAATATTAAAAAAAATTTTAATATTATATTTAAATAATCACCAATTAATTAATATTTTTCTGTTAAAGACATTTACATTTGGAAATTACAAGAATAGGAAGACAAATTAATTCTGATTATTGCGTGCAATTTCTGTTTGAATTGGCAGTCCATTTTACAGTAGTAACATCGAATGTTTATTACTTATATTGTGTTTTTTCTGGTCTTATAACGGTCAATAACGAAAAAGTTATTGCCATGATAATATGGGGAAGCATTTATTTACTTAAAATTATATTAATAAATTGGCTTTGCACGAGTGCGTCAACTGAGGTAAAAAAAATATTTTTTACGATAAAAATAAAGTGCACAATTACAAATAATATTTAGAATGTAGTTATTCATAGTTAAACACATATCAAGTTTAAGAATATTATATAATTTATTTCTTATATATAAATTGTATACTCAGAGTATCTTTTAAATACTCACATAAATATATATAAATAGTATTTTAATTCTCTGTAAATATATAATACGCATCGCACACATACTGTTTGATTTATTTATAACTTCATATTAAATTCGCATCGTATACATAAATATTCATTTTAGGCATATAAAACAAGTGAAATTCTACAATCATTTGAAGGATCTATTATCGATAATGATATGAGAGACGAGGTAAGTCTGTTTATGTATTATTAATAATTAAGATGGAATCACAAAATGCTCGATTTCTTGAATGATAGCATGCATACAGTCATGCCTACTCTGATGTATGCTAGAATTTATTCATGCATTGAGCACTGCATGCTGCATATACATAATTTTTATATTTATTATGGATTACTTCATATAACTTATTTCCTTGCATGCACCAATCAAAAGAAATAATTACTAATTTCGTAATTATTTGTCAAATGTCAGACTGTATGCATCAAAGCAAGCATAGCAGCATGCATGGGCGCATGTATGCGTGCATGCTTATCGTTCAAGAAATCGAGCATCGTGTAATTTCATCTTTATATGAATCAAATTAGATCTTGCTTTATAACATATAAAACATTATTAATATTTATATACAGAGACTAATTTATTTCACACATAAATTGCAAATTTGTATAAAATCAATGTATTGTTTACATACATAACTTGGGTAATATATAGTTACAATAATTAGGCATATAATAATAAGAATGCAAAAATGTGTTTGCAGATTCATCAATTTACACAACAAATAGTGCTTAATTCATTAAACTTTTCTGCTTGTGGTTTCTTTTCAATTGATAATTCACTTACTGGCAAGGTATGCTATTTATATATTTATTTAATTTAATCAATTAAATGAGATAATATAATTTATTTATTCCTAATAATAATGTTTTTAATATAATTGTATATAAAAAATTAAGATATGATACTATATTATTTAATATAATCATATGACATATTTGAAAATAAAGAAAACGAAAAAACCTATGAAAAAAGATATTTTTTTCAGTTTTGTACTACGGTCACGACATATGTTGTTATTCTAATACAAATGAATACAACCGTAACATAATCTGTGCAACAAAGTGATACGTAAAATAAAAAATTTGATCACATTAGATAAATCTTCCATTAAAATACTACTATTCCAAGGTGTAAAAGTTTACAAAATAGTTTATAAGTGCTTAAAAAAAAAGTACTAATATTTATAAATGTCATGTGTATTCAGATAGAATAAAAATTTTCCAAACATATTAAAGTGTATACATTAAAAATTCATTAAAAATATTTTATTATTATACAAACTTGATTTTATTAATTTTATTAATTTTATTTCGTCTATAATTTTGCTTTCTTTTCCAAGTAATATAAATTATTAATACAATAAGAAATTTACTTTTTGTGAATATAATTTAAAGATCATTAAAGAGAAAATTTGTTTATATTAAGTATATATATATATATATATATATAGTATATATGTATATATAAACATTTACATTATACATATATCCATTGTGAATAACAATATATAGTTTAAAAATGACACATTCTTTGTAGAAATATTGATTCTCATCCTAATTATGTACATATATATATTATATATACATTGTATATGTATGTACATATGATATCGTTTAATGATTTAACGACATTGTAATGAGTTGATCTAATCAAATAATCGTGATGAATATCCTTTTATATATTACATGACTCTCAACTTGGCATCCATGCAATAGTTAGTTCTTGAAATTGTAACAGTTACGATCATGGTTGATACTATACAAAAAGCTTTTAAACCTCTGTCCTTGATTGCTTTTCTCCTTGGTTCCGGAAATCTCAGATATCCTCTCAATTATTGGAGATTTCGCTTGAGTGTTTTCTATGTAATAATTGTGTGGAGCCTCTATAAATATGCGTTTGATGCTATGTTAAATGCTTATACGCCAAAACATATATTTAATAACCATTTGTCTTATTACTCAACACAAACAAATATTTTTGTGACGCTAATATCTGTAACCATCACCGTTTTCAAACACCAGGTATATCTTTTCTTTATAAATGTTACATCATTGTTCTAACATCTAATCTAAAGCGAAACAGATAATAATATTATATTGCTATTTTGGAATTACTTTTATTATAATCAAATTTAATTAAAAATTAAGCTAAGAAAATCTATTTTTACATTCACGTAGAATAAACCCTTGTGTTTCTTCAAAAAGTTTTTATTTAAAAATATTAATTTTTTAAGAACTTTTACAAAGTAATTTTGTATTTAATTTATTCTGCGTTAGATAATATAAAAGTTTTATCAAGGTTCTTATCAAAGTTATTGTTTTATTACTGTTATGTATTATACATATATGTTTCTTTACTGTTATGTACATATATGTTCCTTGCATATTTTTATAAAAATGATACAATTTATATATTTTTTTGTCTTCAGAAAATCCACGTATGTATAAAGAAACTTAGTCTCGTGGATGACACATTAGAAAAACTCGGAACACCCAAGGAATATCATATAATTCAAAACATGATAAAATCGACGTTAATTATATATTTTATAGTGATTCTTATATTATTTATTACCGATTCTATTTGGAATATAGAAAAGCACAACAATATAAAAGCCATGTTTATTGGTCTCATTATGGGATATCCTATTTATGTTAGCACTATTGGAAATATAATATTTGCATTTGTTGTAAGGTTTGTAAATAAATATGTTTGATAAAAACTATTATAATTAAAGCTGCTTAAAAATAAACGTTAATACTTTTGAGGCTTCCATAGGTACTTTACAGAAGCTATCCGTTTAGCTGGTTAACTTTCCGTATACAGATCTATTATTAAAATACATTACAGTTCATTTCATCAAATATCATGCTATTCTTCGCCCTGATCTAGGCATGGAAATAAACCGCAAAATGCATAGCTTCTGAATGAACTATTATTATGTGACTAAATCTGACCAATTCAAATCTATAAAAATTATTGAATATTTAACTTAAAAGTTAAAAGTTTTATATTAAATGTGTATATATTTTATATATATATATATATATATATAATATAAATTTATAAAATTCTAATTTAAGTAAAAGAAAAGAATTCGAGAAATCTTTTATTTAACTTCTGCTTATTTTTAACTACTAAAGATAATATTTAAAGACATCTTTTTAAATATTTTCTAAACGAAAAATCACAGATATATCGGTACCAGATTGGATAAAATAAATGGCTATATTGAACAACTGTCAGAGACAGAAGAGAGTGGGCTGAGATGCAAGTGGAAAAAGTCTCTCGTTATTCGCCATTATGTCTGTAATTCAGAGAATCGCAAGCGTGTAATATGGACCGTAATGTAAATTGATAGATACTAAAGTGACACAATAATAATTAAGAAAGCGATATTTCGTAAAAAGAGAAAATTATTATATTGATTAAACGTATAAGTATATTATCAATTATTTGTTTAATAAGTGACAATTTTGTATTTACTTATAATAATAATCTATATAATAATCTATTAAATTTCTAATTATAATTTACATGATGTACGAATAAACATTAATTAGACAATATATTGCATTTTATATGTTATATATTTTTGCAGCAATAATCAAAATAAAATTTACTATTATTTGTGCAAAATTGTCTAATCTGAGTAAATAAGAACTTTACGGTTAATTACACTAATATAAATTAGTATCTACTTATTTAAATTATTATTTAATTTTTCTTAATTTTCATATACTTTAGAATTGGAAACCAAAATACAATAGTCACTGATTTATTCCAAATCAGAATTTTGACAAATTCTTCACGCGCACATAAAATACAAAAAGTATAAAGTAATAACAAAATCTGATAGATATAAATTTATAATAGATATATTTATTTATTAATATAATGTCGTTTTAGGCATCTTCATTTGGAACTCTGTCGAATAGCTCGTGACATAAACGATTTATTCGGGACACAATTAACATTGCAGATGATATCTTGTTTCTTTATTTTAGTCACAACATTTTTTGCTCAATACCATATGATACTGTGCTTAACATATATATATGAGAACAATTCAGCTAAACTAAAACTTATTCTTGCCAACGACATATGGTGCATGGTATTTTTAACAAAATTCATATCACTGAATTATATTTGCGAAAATGTTAGTGCCAAGGTAAGCTAAATTTTTGCATACTACTTTATAAAGGGAAAATATTCTCACAAGTAGAAGTTATAATATAATTTCTTTCTCTCCCCCCCTTCTCTCTCTTTCTCTTCCTCAAAATGACATCAAAACTTCTTTAGCAAATATAAATAATAATTGATATACATATGTATATATAAAACGAATAAATACTATAAAGATGAACATTTTCTTAGATGTTAGAATAAAAGATTAAGTAATCTCACTTCTTTATAAAAATTACAATAGTTTAATCATATACATGTCTATACTCTAGTCTATATTATTATTGAAAGTCATACAATTATTATAAATGTCTAAATTATAAATAATATAATTAACTTTATATTATTTCAGGTACAAAAAACTAAAGTCTTGACACATAAATTAACAAATCTCATACGTTTTATGGAAACACGTAGAGAGGTGAAATAAATTTTTTATACTTTTCTAATTATAAATGATTTTCAAATAGTTTCATATAAGTATGTAACTTTAGGCAAGAATTATATTATATTATAGATTTATCAGTTTCTTTTGCAAATATCATTTCGGCCATTGGAATTCGGCGTAAAGGGCATATTTCATTTTGGCCACAAATTCATTAATAAGGTTAGTCTTTAATATCATTCATATTAATATAAATTTAAAACTATGGAAAGAGAATGATTTTGCTGAAATATCTAAAAATGCAGGACGATACAAAATAATTAAAAAAAAATAGTTTTAAATTCAAATATTAACGGTTTCAACGATTTAATCAATTAATAATAAATAAAATGCCTTTAAGAGAGTTGCTGCTGATTGAAGAACGTAGAGAAATAATAATATAATTAAACCTTAGTTCGTATAATGATGACATTTATTCCTCGAAACGTTCGATCCTGGATCTGGATAAATAATTTTGTTGACATCAAAATAATTATGTTGGGTACTCGAGCAATGTTGCAAAAAATTCTATTATTCTAGCAATTAGCTTGAGCATTCTACATAATTATTCTAATTCAACAAAATTATTTTCAGATTAGTACCTGGTTAAATTTTCAGATACTTAGCAAAACGGTTCTTTCCATGTAATAATAATCTATAGTTAAAATAAATAAATAAAAAATTAAAGTAACGATATTTATTATATAATTGGCCTTTTTTTTCTAGTTCTTTATATGGGTACTTACCATTATTATTTTTGTATTGCAAATGGATACTTCTCCCATGACTCAAATATCAAAAACTGAAGAAATCAATGAAACATGTTTTGAAAGAGATGTTGTTATATAGAAAAGAAATATACAGTTATAATACATATCTTCCGTATTTCTTTTATAGCTTACAATTTAGAAATATAATTAATGTAGAAATTGTATGTATAATTGTATGTATAATTGCTAATTAAATATTTATTTATTTAGTTTATGTATTTATACCATCTGAACATTGTTATTTATTTTTATTTATTTTATAATTATATATTATCAAGTAGTTGTACGTACGTGCAGTTTAAATAAAAGCTCTTTAAATATTTATTATATATACAGATAAGTTCATATTTGATTAACCATAAAAAGACTATAAACTGGTATTTATTTAAAAAATTAATCTGTGTTATATTGATTATAAATCGAGGGGATAACCATTCAGAAAATATACACCTAAACTTCTGACTTCAAGACTTCACCGGACTTCACGGACTGTTATGGACTTCATCGGACTTCGACAGACTTTGCTGGACTTTACTGGACTTCACTAGACTTCAAGGAATTCATCGGACTTCTGATGGGTTGTACATTAGAATTTAAGAGTGGTTACCCTCTCATTATAAACATATGTACGAGTAAGCTCATAAATCGACACTATCTACTTAATTTTAAAAAATATCAAAATATCTACCTAATTCGCACTTATCGTATAACTTTAATATAAAAATAAACGTTTTAATTGATTACTAAGTTGTTTGTAAGCTGAAAGTCATGCTAATTATTGGTGTGTATAAATGTCTAATGACGTTGATCGATTATGTCATTATGTGCCTACGTTTATAAAGGAATATCATATAATTCATGATGCTACATTAATCCACTATTATGTTATTCTAGCATCTTGATAAGTAAATTACAACGAATAAATGAAGCTTATGTGAGCTTCGAATTAATATACGACGTTAGTTTACGACCGGAACAACGGTAGTAATAGCTATGGTGACTACCATAGAACGGGCTATACATCCACTAATCCTGACTTCTTCTCTACTCGGTTTAGGAATTTACTCTTCAAAGAAACCTTATTTAAGTGTTTTCTATAATCTGACATTATGGATTACTTATGGTTGCCTTTTTTACTATATTGTGACCGTACTTAAGGTAGAGATATGGTTTCAATCAACCTATGCTATAATCGATACGCAGTTTGGCATTCTTACCAGCATTACATCTGTTATCGTAAATATGTATCTGAACAAGGTATATAGATTCAATGTTCATATTAATTTAGATTAATATATCAAATGACTAAAATGTAGCATTTTAAATGGTATATTATAACTCATTTTTACGTAGTTTTATATGTATATAGGAAAATATATACATAGAATTGTTGTGTAACGTTATATTCAGAGATTTCAGATAATCATAAAAAGGCTTGCTGCCGTGGATAATACGTTGAAAGAATTAGGTATACCAAAACTGTATCACAAATTGTACATACGTGCAAAAGGGATATTAATTGGATGGTTAATATGTAGTTGTATGGGAAATATGTGCGATATGACATGGTGGATCTATGTAAAAGAAGATTGTCGGTATTTACTTATACCGATTATCACAAATTATTTCTATCATGTCAACATGTTTGTGGATTTATTATTTATAACTATTCTGTGGTTGGTATATTATTTAGAATGTATTTAAATATACTCTGTAATTTTTATATAATTATCAAAATAATTAATGTATTCAATACATATATATATTTTTTACATACAACTTTACAATTATTTCTCTCTCTTTACACAATTTTTATTATTTTTTAATAAAAACAATGAAGAAAAAGAAAGAGGGAAAGAGAGAGAAAAAGAAAGAAATTTTATTTAAATATATATCTATATGTAATTCATAAATTATAAAAAACAAATTCTAGAATATTCCTGTAGATATAAATAAAGCAGGTTATAGGAAATTTACAGACCTTGTAGTAATCATAGGGGAGAGTTGGCTAAGTCGTCCCGACGGTTAAATCGTACCTCCATTGTATTTTCTAAACAAAACATTTTTTTTTAAAGATAATGACACTGATGTGACGCCGGTAATATGGGTTAAAAACTATCATTTTTGTTTTGTCTTCGAGTCGTCTGTTTACGAGTAACATTCAAAATTGATTTTGTTCGGTGTCTGATCTAAGTTTTGATACAATTTACCTAAGGTGTTATCAGTACAAGGTGGGTAATTGAATTATAGTGTCCTTCATGGTTATAATTGATATTTAAACTCTTTTCGAGTATAGCATCAAATTAGCAAGATATTTGTAAGTCATGTTGTTATTGGCAAATTTGTAAAAATAGAAGGAGTTCGGTAAATCGTATTTGTCGCTGGTCTTTATATTGTACCGGTACGATTTTTGCAAGTGACACGAGCAATATGTGGAGGTTACTATTATGATAAAAAAGGACCTACAGTGGACTCAGTATGTCAGGTGCTCTAAGTAGTTGCACGAAACCTGTAATGACAATCTTGACATTTACCAAAACTGTTTAAATAAATGATCAAGAAAGTGATTACTTATCAACTATTGAGTCTTTCTATTGAATCTTTTCTATTGTGACGGAAAAATCCGTAATTGATTTTATTTCAAAAATTTATTTTTTCAAAATATTTGAGATTTTAATATTCTGAAATATAGTGCAATAATAGCTTAAATCAATTTAAGTATTGCTTTTTACTTTATTTTCTTAAATGAGTTTAAAAAACACAGATCTAATTTCTGTTTTTTTAACAGAAAAGTTTTTATTATACCTACTTAAATATGTATACTCAGTTTCAAATTAAAAATAAATTTATTAATAAATGAGTTTTAAAATTAATTTTATTTATTTTTCCAGTAAACAAACTGACGTTTACCATCATTTTGACGTTAAAGATGTTATTTTAATGTCAAAATGACAATAAGCAATGTCAGCTTGTTTGCTATATTAGAAGTACGATTTAAGCCCGTTTTCATAATATATGGTTACCTATAGATTAAAGGTTACCAACAGGTTCATCAATGAAATTCATTCATGAATTTCTTGGTTACCTTTAATCTTTAAGCAACCATATATTGTGAAATCGGGCCTTAGGAACCAGGTGATACAATTTAACGACCCGGTCTCCAAATCGTACCAAAAGCTACTTTTTTTTAAAATCTAATTTAAATAATAATTTAATATTTATTTTCGCAAAAGTATCGTTTTGTTTTATTGCCAATGAACCAAAGTTTAATATTAGTACAGAAATATTCTGATATCTTCAGTACCTTTCTTTACAATTTTGTTTAAACGTTAGGGGGTACGATATAGGCGACTTCCCCCTATACATATTTATTTATTATTTGTTGTTTCGATTTATTTTTCATAATTTATAATTGGAATTGTTTTTTGATATACACAGGTACATTGGTACTAAGTTTGACAAGATAAGCGAATACGTGAAATGTTTGTTGGTGAAAGATGGACACGAATTAAAATGTATACAGAAAAAAGCTGTAATGATCCCGCGTCGATATATCACATGTATTGACAATTACAAGCACGCGATATGGATTTCAATGTAAATTGGAAACAAATATGTTTGGGTAGATCATTCATTTGAGCCTGATCTAACATTAAAA